AAAATGTCAATGGTATTATTCTGGATTACAGTTTAAAAATTGTTTCATAAAACAGATGCAGTTGAATCTCCACTTTGCAGTGCTCCATATTATTCTAATCAAATGATTATTGGTAAGAGATATTTGATGATATTTATTAAGTAAGGGCAAATATCCTCAAAATTTATTAGATTATCACTCCCACCCTCATCAAAAATTCGAGATGCGGGAATAAAAGAAAAAAAAATTGCCGCATCAATTATTTTAACAGCATAAAAATAACAATGCAATTTTATGACTTCAAATATATTTTCTTTAAAAAACTATAAAATTAAACCAGTTTTTATACAATATTTACTATTACTAGCTAAATATAAACAGTCCCTCAAAAAAACAAGAGCAAAATAATATATTGTTCCGATAAAAAAAAAAACAAAAAAAAACGCCCTTCCTTATCAATTTTTTATTTTAAAGAGTGATAATCTAATAATTTTTTCTATGTACCCTTAATAACCTTATTTCAGGTTCAGTTTAGAATAGTATTGGCTAATATTAGTAATTATTTTATTTATTATTTATAGCCATCTTCATGAAAAAGTACTGTAGTCACTTATAACAATTTATTAACGATTTATTGCCATCTAATGTTAGAATTAAACAGAAAACAAAAATAAAATAATTATAATAATAATCATACTTCAGAAGCCTTACACTAAAATTTTTTCATGCTTTTTTTATGTGTACTGGTTGTTTTCTGGACTTGGTTAATGCTTGTTCCACCCTGCCTAACATGTCAATAATTTTTTCAGTATATTGTATCTGTATTATAAGACAGCAAAATTGAATAAAGAAAAGAAAGTAATTAAATATTTTTTTTAAATTGTTATTACTATTACTATAGGGCTTGAAGAGTGGTATGCAAATGATGATGATGAAGAAATACAATCAAGTCTAAATAATGATGTGGATTACAGTACTGGTAAGTTTTGTTCATTATAGTAATATATTAATTCTTATTACTTTGTTCATTTCTGGTGTTGTTTATTAAAAAAAAAAAAAAAAATTATTTAGATTAGTTGTCTTTCTGTTAAGGTGCTGTTAATGATGAAGGAGAAGACAGTGATGTAATATTGGAAGTCCAGGAAATTCCGGATGAACCCTTTGAGATTGACCAAACATCTAAAGCCGTGGATGTACCTATGCCGGATACACCATCTACCAATGTTCTACCTAAAGGTTTTAATAACTATTTTGATATGTACTCTATTTTTAAAATTATGAAATAATGTGAAATCAAATTAAGTTTGACCTACATATTATCACAGTAAATTGGGACCAGTAGTTAACAAAAAGTGAACAATAAACTGTCCTGTAATATATAGTAGTTATTAATAAATATTGGATATGTAGAACTTGGGGACATAATGCACATTATATAAATGAACTGTAAAAAATGTTAATCCAACTCCTAAAAAGTTATAATATAGATCATTGAATTTGATTTTAATATAATAAAATAAACAGCATTAAAAATTCATATTCACTTGCCAATTAGTTTAAAGCCACTCTAAACCTAAGGATAACATTTTTTTTTCGCTCAAAGAGTATGTTAAATTGGTCAATTGTGTTTCAGGACGAAAAAGACGACTGCCATCATCCACTCAGGGATCTAAAAGGGATAGGACCGTTAATGCCTTGGCAAAAAAAATAAAAGAAACTAGTGATGCCAACTGGAGGAGAATGTCATCAATGTTGGAAAGAATGCGAAAGGAAGACCAAAAAGAAAGAGAAGAAATGACAACTCTGATGAATACACTAACATCAGTACTGGAAAAGGGGAATAAAGACCGTCAGGAGGAAAGGCAAGCAATGAGGGAGGAAAGGCTAGAGGAACGGCGTG